TTAAGAGATTGTTATCATGTTCTAGAGAAGAGGAAAGAGCTCTGGACAGAGTAGCAGTACAGGAATAGAAGGGAGAGGAACCCAAAAGACCAAGTAAAGAGGGACTAGAAGGATGGCTGGGAGTCATGGGAGATAAGGAAAAGGAGAAGTAGAAAAAATTGCCGATATCCCAAATCTGGATAGAGACATTGTTTTTCTTCTTAGACTGAATTTTAAATTTTTTCAAATTATAAAAGCTGCTTATAATGTCCATTATAAATAATTGGAAACAGGATATAAAAGGAAAAATAATCACCTACACCCCCTATACCAACAAATGGCTGACTTGTTAGTGTTTTGTCCTCTTCTAGCATCTTCATAAGCATATGTGTGTACTTTTTAAAAAATTGGGATTATATGCCATACAATTTTAAAGTTTATTTTTTTGCATTATAGTGTTTTTATCTTCACCTCACTGCATGTTTTTGGAAGACAACATTTTTTAATGGAGACTACAATTTTTGAGTTATATATTAGTCTTTGGTCATATCACATAGCAAGTGTTTTAGACCTGGTTAGTTAAACATGGGGAAGCTACAAACTAAATTTAAAGTTTTTTTTTTTTTTTTTGTCTTTTTTCCGTGTCCGGCAACGGATCGCAACCCTCAGTGTTGCCCCCGTACCGGACCGGGGACCGGCAACGGGATCGCAAGCCTCGGTGTTGCTCCCGCGCCTCGCTCAGCCAGTGAGCGGGAACCGGTCTGTATATGGGATCCGAACCCTCGGACGGGAGCGCTGCCGCGCTTCCCAAGCGGCGCACCATCCAGTGCGCCACCGGGCCGGCCCGATTTAAAGTATTTTTAAACTATACTATAAATGTTATACATGTTCATTCTAGAAAGTCTGGAAAAATCAAAAAGGTATAAGGAAGAATATAATCACCTATAATCCCATCTCCTAGAAAGATTTCACATTTTGGAGGATGCAAGAATAGATTTTTAAGATGATTGCGGTCATACTGTTTATGTATAGTTAAATTTCTATATTTTCATGTTTTTCATTTAGTATTTATATCATGATCTAAATTTAATTTTAGTACATTCTACTGTACTTGTCAATAATCCTTTTTATGAGGGAATTTTTCATATCTAGAGCAAACTCTTCAATGAGCATTTTGACAAGAAAAAGATAAAATGCCCCCAGTTTAACAAGTTTTGACATGAAATTGCTCTGCAGTAGTTCACAGAAACTTCTCAGACCTTCCCCTAATAATCTTATGCCAAGCACAAAATTTCTTTGACGTCTGTTTTACCTAAATACATGGTGTAAAGATTACTAAACAAATACATGTTTATTCTGAAAACAATCAATACCAAAGATTAGAAAGTCAAAAATAAAAGTCCCCATCAACTCCCTGCAGTCCCACTCCCCTTATTTAGTTTAGTGTTTATTCATCCAGACTTTTCTGCTTTTTTCATCTAACTTATTCTGTTAATACTTATAGGTCTTCTTTTTTGTTTTTTGTAATAGCTTCAGTATTATTCTATACCATGAGTGTTATAATTTATTTAACCAACCTCCTACTGTTGGGTGTAAAGGGTATATCCAGGTTTTACTTTTAAAATAACATTTCAGTAACTCAGTTACAGATGGGCAAAAGAGCCCCCATACATTGCTGGTGGGAATGTGAAATGGGGCAGCCATACAGTGGTGCGGCTGTGGAAAAATAGTTTGGCAGTTACGCAAAAAGTTAAATTATAGAGTTGTTACCACAGGACCCAGCAATTTCACTTCTATGCATAAACCCAGGATAACTGAAAATGTATTTCACATAAAAACTTATATATTAAGTTTGTATCAGCATTATTATTAGCTCCAAAGTGGAAACAACTCAAGTGTCCACCAACTGATGAATGGATAAACAAAATGTGGTATATCCATACAGCAGGCTGTTACTGGGCAATAAAAAAGAATGAAGTTCTGTACAAGCTACAACATGGACCAACCTTGAAAACATTATCCATGAAAGGAGCCAGACACAAAAGGCCATAGATTGCATGATTTCATTTATACGAAATGTCCAGGACAGACAAATCCACAGAGACAGAAAGTAGATTAATGGTTGCTGGGGGTCGGGAGGAGAGGAATATTGGGAGTAGTTGCTTAATGGGAATGAGGTTTCTCTTTGGGGGTAATGGAAATGCTCTGGAATTAGACAATGGTGAAGGTTGCATCTTTATAAATATACTAAAAACCACTGCAATATGCATTTTTATTTTTATTTTTATTTTTATTTATTTATTTATTTATTTTTTAAAAGATGACCAGTAAGGGGATCTTAACCCTTGACTTGGTGTTGTCAGCACCACACTCTCCCAAGTCAGCTAACCGGCCATCCCTATATAGGGATCCAAACCCATGGCCTTGGTGTTATCGGCACCACATTCTCCCAAGTGAGCCACAGGCCGGCCCTGCAATATGCATTTTTAAATAGGTGAGTTTTATGTGGTGAGCATTATATCGCAATGAAAATTATTTTTAAAGTGGACAAAAGACTTGAATAGGCACTTCACAAGTAATAATATTCGTATGATCAATAAACATATAAAAAGGTGCTCAACAGCATTAGTCATCAAAGAAATGCAAATTAACAACCACATTGTGATACCACTACTTACCCACTGGAATACCTAAAATTAAAAAAACTGCAATGCTGGACAAGGATGTGGAGAACTGGAAGCGTCTTTCCTTGCAGGTGGGAGTATAAATTGGTACAATCACTTTGGAAAACTGGTTGTTGGTAGGACTGTATGTATATTCTGTGACCCAGCAGTTCTGCACCTGGATATATGCTCAACAGAAATGAATGCTTATTGCCTCAAAAAACAAAACAAAACCACGAATGACAATGTCATAGCTTCATTCATAATTACCCCAAACTGGGAAAACCCAAATGTTCACCAAGAGTAGACTAGATAAATTGTGATATGTTTATACAATAAAAAAGAATAAACTGTTGATAAACACACAATAATGTGGATGTATCTCACAGACTTACTATAAAATGTTCAGTGTCAAAAACCTTTTTATGGGTCGGCCCGGTGGCGCACTGGATAGTGCGCCGCTTGGGAAGCGCGGCGGCGCTCCCGTCCGAGGGTTCGGATCCCACATACAGACCGGCTCCCGCTCACTGGCTGAGCGAGGCGCGGGAGCAACACCGAGGCTTGCGATCCCGTTGCCGGTCCCAGTCCGGTACGGGGGCAACACTGAGGGTTGCGATCCGGTGCCGGACATGGAAAAAAGACAAAAAAAAAAAACCTTTTTATTCCATAAACTGCACTGTGAAGCTTACGTCGTCATGTAAAGTATCACCCGCATCAACTTTTTGAAAAGGAAATGCCAATACACAAAATACCAGATGGAAAGGGGAGGGTCGTCCCGGTGGCGCACTGGATAGTGCGCCGCTTGGGAAGCGCGGCGGCGCTCCCGTCCGAGGGTTCGGATCCCACATACAGACCGGCTCCCGCTCACTGGCTGAGCGAGGCGCGGGAGCAACACCGAGGCTTGCGATCCCGTTGCCGGTCCCAGTCCGGTACGGGGGCAACACTGAGGGTTGCGATCCGGTGCCGGACATGGAAAAAAGACAAAAAAAAAAAACCTTTTTATTCCATAAACTGCACTGTGAAGCTTACGTCGTCATGTAAAGTATCACCCGCATCAACTTTTAAAACTCATTAAATTGTTTTAAAGATGCCTAAGTTTTTTCCTGATGCCAATACTAATATATTTAGAAAACAAAATGCCTTTTTATTATTTCAAAATAAATTAACATGAATTGTAGAAAAATTAGAATACACAGATTAACAGCAGCAAAAAACCCTCACTCGTGCTCCCACCTCACAGAAAGACCCGTTAACACCTCGGATGTACACATTGGACACTTTTCTGAGCATTTAAGAAAGCCCAAGTATTCTGATTAAATGTTAACACAAACGTACCTTCCACAGAGGGAACACTTGGAGCGGAGGAGCAGAAAGGCAAGAAGTTGGAGCTGCAGGTGTGAACAGCTCACAGCTCACATCTAAGCTCCTTATCTGGGCATTACAGCTCAGCCTGCTTGGTGCCTCCCCACCGGCAGGGCAACCATTTGCATCACCCACTCACCCCTGGAGGCTTCTGCTCATCCATGCTGCCAGGTCCTCTCATAATCCCCATGGACCACTTCTTGGGCCCAGTTCTCCACCTTTTGCAGGAGGTAGAGTTTGGCAGGTTTGAGCTCTGTGAATCCAGACCTACTCCACTGAGCAAAACTAACACTCACCCATGATTCCATGTTATCAGCACCTCTCAATTTTGGCCACCCTTCCCATCTTCTGCTTTGTAGAACCGATCGAGACTGTGAGGTGAGCGCCTCCCTCTCCCCCCTTCTCCATGCATAAACTCCACAGCCTACACAGGCCTCCTTGTCCCCAAATAAAATTACTCTTTCCTACGGCACCCTCCCCTGCCCCAATCCCTGCCACCTCCGGTAGGACTTTGCTCCTTCAGTTCTCTCCCTTCTCACCAGCATGAAGATGAGTGCGAGGACGATTGTGATGTGGTACCCGCCTCCAGGAGCTCACAGGCCCACAGGGGAAATGGGCAACGTTGCTCCCAGCCCGGGGTAAGTGCTGTAAAGTAGGCGTGAACCCTGAGTTATGGGAGCTAAAAGGAAGAGTGATGTGCTTCCTGGTGTGGGGAAGGTCTGGAAAGGGCACTGAGGCCATGACTGAGGATCAGAAACCTAGCCAACTCTCGGCCAAGTAGCCCTCATTCCGATGCAGTCTGGGAGCCCCATGGAGACACAGCCTAGGCAGCACTTAAGACATCTTTACTTCCTCTCTAAACATTTTTACATATTTTTAATGAGATATTATGAATCAGTAAAGATTCTAGCATCTGTAAGTACAACCCTTAAGAAAGGCATAAAACGTGTGCACTTAAGAGACATGTAATCTGGCAATGAAAAGAATCTGACCCAATTCATTCAAGGTAATTTATTGATAGAAGTATTACAAAGTTCTGCTTTTCATTTTTTCTTATACAATGTATTGAAATAAACTGAACACAATCATAATATGAAAAGACGTTATTGCATAGTAGTGGGGTGATGTTGCTTCATAATCATGTATTATTCCCACTCCCAAGACATATGTCTGTATTCTAGAACCAAAGCTATTGCCTGTGACTGTCAGAAGCAGGAGGGGGCTGGTGTTCTGGGGGTGGTGCAGAAAAGTGAGGGGTCCTCAGGCCATAGGCTAGGAGTGCTCATCAAATGACATTTTTGCTACGAAAGGAAGAAACAAGGAGGTTTGGGGGGACAAGGAATAGCCAGTTCCATAAAAACTTAGAAAATACAGACTTCTCAAAATACAGACTTCTCAATTAAAAAATAAATATATTGGAATGTGGATTAAATAGAGAAAATCATTTGGGTTGCCTTTTAAAACTTAGTAATAAAAGATATTAAACAATGAAAAATTATGGTGAATATGTTGGCAGATAAAATTTAAAGAAATGTTCTTTCAGAAGAAAAAATGATAAATGGCATGGCAATTAAGCTTTAATAATATAGTAGTTTTAAATAGATATATACATAAACATACTTCATGATTCATTTCAGTTTGAATATTCTCTTAAAAATTAGAGGGGTCTGAAATAAGAAATTTTTTTTTTTATGCAGGGGCACTTTTAGTAAAAAGAATCAATGAACCAACACCCTCCCCACTCCGAAGCAGGCATGGGGCAAGACGACCTCGTGGCAGGCCCTGGTGGCCAAACGGCATTATTTTCTGGAAGACTCAGCCCTGGAACCCACTTGTGGCTTCATCAGTGTACCTGGGCTTCACATGAACCTTAGAGAACTTGGGAGCCGCTGTATCCCCAGATCTCACTCCCTCTGAGTGGAGCCCTGTCACAAGATAGAATAGACTAAGAGGCCCCTGGAAGAAAACGTAAGCCTTCCACAGATTCCAAATAAAAGCCAGCTGGGACTGCAAAGCTAAACAGGGCCTTTCCAACGACAGCTGGTGTGTGTTAATTCTTACCAAATTACAGTGGCAGCACCATCTCCGTAAGAGAGGATGTGGCCCAGTTGGGAGAACTCTGTTTTCTTCCTTAAATCACATTCCAAGCATTTCCAGTTCCAATTAATAAACCACATTCATGTAGGTTTTGAGGAAAAAGTGCATTGACTTTTCCTCCTGCTATAATCTATTGAGAAAGCCTAGCTTAAAACTGCTGGGGATCTGGATCATTTCCAGAGCATGCGGAGAGGGGGTAAAAGGAAACGTGACTTGAAAGAGATATTTGGTATCCAACATCAGCTGTGATGAATCCTCCCGGTTATTTAGGAGAGCCTGAAATTAGAACCAAATGAAAAATGAATAATGAAACCAGTGCATTCTGCTTTTCTGCTACCTGGAAGTCAAGAGTAAGGAAAACACAACAACTCCATCTCTGGTGAAGAACGACTTTCAAAATCATGTGAGCTGACACATGTACAAGGGCTTTTAACAGCACAGTTCCAAGGTGAAATAGTCTATCCAGGGCTTCCAGATCAGCTCTAATGAACACTTACTTGCTCTGTTTCACTTCACAAGTTAATTTCCCACAGGATGGACTGTTGTAAATCTGTTTTCTATTCTTATCTATTCTCATGACATAATTCTAAGCCCAAACATGACTAGATTTCAAGTATTACATTTTTACTGAACCCATCTTTCATCCTCATTCAGTGGTTTATAAACTTTTTTGGTCTCAGAACCCCTTTAAATTATTTAAGACTCCAAAGAGCTTTTGTGTATATGGGTATAACTATTGATATTTACCATATTAGTAATTAAAAACATTTAAAAAATATCCATTCAGGGCCGGCCCGGTGGCGCACTGGATAGTGCACCGCTTGGGAAGCGCAGCGGCGCTCCCGCCCGAGGGTTCGGATCCCACATACAGACCGGTTCCCGCTCACTGGCTGAGCGAGGCGCGGGAGCAACACCGAGGGTTGCAATCCTGTTGCCGGTCCCCGGTCCGGTACAGGGGCAACACTGAGGGTTGCAATCCGGTGCCGGACACGAAAAAAGACAAAAGACAAAAAAAAAAAAAAAATATATATATATATATATATATATCCATTCATTAAAATGATTATCCCAATACATGCTAAATATCATTTTCCAATACAAAACAAATTTAGTGAGAAGTGGTAGTGTTTTATATTTTTGTAAATCTCTTTAATGTCTGACTCAATGAAAGACATATAATATATCAAATCTGCCTCTGCTTCCAATCTGTTGTGATGTGTTATTTTAGTTGAAGTATGTATATAAAATCCTGCCTCACACAGATATATACTCGGAAAAAGGAAGACTTTGCAGAACCCCGAAAAGGGTCTCAACGACTCCTGGGATCCTTGAACGAAACTTTGAGATTTGCTGCCCTAGTTCATTAGGGGAGACACTTTAGGGATTATATAAGGAGAATGGACACATGGGTCTTCCTGTTCCATTCAGCCTCTGTCCACCTGCATATTACTCCAGAATGGATAAGAAACAAGACATGCTGATGTGAGTCATGGTTTTGGTGTTTTTATTCCCTTCCCACCAGGACTAAATGGATTCTGAAACCTGGGAGAATTTGACAGGGAAAAATTCCTGCTGCCTTTGAGCTGGGTGCTTTTCATTTGTGCACTGAGTAATGTACTTTAATGCTGGGTTTCTATAATGTTAATTAAATATCAATACTTATGTGGTAAAATTAAAAGGCGCATCCTTAAGGATCTCACCTGTACTTTGCGAACAAAGGATGGAGTCACTCTTTTCTCGAAGTCATCTATAGGTGTGTATGAATTAAGGATCTTTATGATCTGCAAACATAACATGGTGTCAGACCATGGAAAAGAACAATTCTGTCCATGAAATAATGGTTCCAGTGGTTTGGGAACCGTTGGTAAACACAGGTAATTCTTTTATACTGTAATTTCGCTTAGGAACTATGTTTTATCTATTTATAAGAAAAGAGAAAACAAGGGAAGAAGAACATAGAAGGAAGCAAGGACAAATCACATAGTTAGACAACAGTCAGAGAACTCGCCCATTCCAGACTCCCCACCTCTCATTTGCCCACCCTACTCACACAAACATCTGTGAGTTTAGCGGGCAGGAAACGCATCATTTACATTTTTGTGTTTTTCAGACTGAGGGTTTGTATATAATAAATACCTATTAGATACACGGATGGGATAAGTATGCTCCCCAGAGACCACAGACAGTCAGATGTGCCCGCAGCTGGCTAAGCCAGGAAGGGCAATGCCAAGCATACTGATCTGTCAGCAAAGATCCAGGGAGACAGCAAGCAAGCCTGGTCACCTGCACAGCAGACAGGGAGGTGCAGCATTCATAGATCTCCTTGGCATCACTGTCTGTGGTCTTCTTGACCTGAAGCAACCAGGCTGCCTGAGAGAGGGGTTCCAAAGTTTCCTTGGCTAAGCTATTTTGTAAATTCTTATCTTTAAGCCATTCTTCTAAGTAGCTGATGTTGCACCTGAAGTGAAAACCAGAGGAGAAAACACTTTAGGGAAGAGTGCCAAATCCCCCAGCGTGTCCCAAGAGGATACCGGAGTTTGCTGAGAACCTTAGGACCATGGTGCAGCAGTTTCTCATTTGTAACATGAAGGGCTTGGGCCAGATGATCAGCTCTCATGATCCATGGTTCTAAGGATCATAGTGGTCTAGGGTGAGGGGCTATAATAACAGCTATGTACTTGGTGGAAAATCTGAGCAAAGAATAGCGATTGCAGTAATTTACAAAGTAGAGTTTTGAAAATTTATTAAAGGAAAAAAAGTGACACTTGAAGAGAAGACTTACATAGGTATAAAAAATCGATTTCTTTTCCTGAATTGGCAAAGATTTTTCAATTGGTAGAAGGCTTTCTTTCAGTAGACTGGGGTTTTTAATTTTTGTTCTTGTCACTAATTATCATAGGTTTATGGGTTAAGAGGCGTGGAATTTTTAGCCCCACCAATCCACTGCATGAACTTGGGAAGTTAATCAACTTCTTTGCATACAATGAAAGAGTTGAGAACCCTCACATATTGCTAGTGGGAATGTAAAACGGTACAGCTGCTGTAGAAAACAGTTTGGTAGTTTTTCAAAATTAAACATAGAGTTACCATGTGACTCAGCAATTCCACTCCTCAATATATACTCAAGAGAACTGGGGGCCGGCCCGGTGGCGCACTGCTATAGTGCGCCGCTTGGGAAGCGCGGCGGCGCTCCCGCCAAGGGTTCGGATCCCACATACAGACCGGTTCCCGCTCACTGGCTGAGCGAGGCGCGGGAGCAACACCAAGGGCTGCGATCCCGTTGCTGGTCCCGGTCCGGTACGGGGGCGACACTGAGGGTTGCGATCCGTTGCCGGACACGGAAAAAGACAAAAAAAAAAAAAAAAAAGAGAGAACTGAAAACATGTCCACACAAAAACTTGTAACAAATGTTCACAGCAGCATTATTTCTAATAGTCCCCAAAGTGAAAACAACCCAAATACCTATCAGGTAAACAAACTGTGGTATATCTATACAATGGGATATTGTCCAGCAATAAAAAGGAATGAGGTGCTGATATCTATTATATGGATGAACCTCTAAAACATTATGCTAAGTGAAAGAAGCCATTTGCAAAAAACAACATATTTTATGATTCCATTTATTTTAAAAATGTACAGAATAAGCAAATTTATGGAGAAAGAAAATATATTAGTGGTTGCCTAGGCTTGGTGTATGGAGTTGGGGGTGGGGTGGGATGTGGGTGGGGAATGAGATTGGCTGCTAATGAGTATAAGATTTCTTTTTTGGAGTGATAGAAATGCTCTAAAATTACATTATGGTGATGATTTCACACCTGCAAATATTCATGGGTGAACTTCATGGTATGTAAATTATATCTCAATGAAGCTGCTAAAAAAGAATTGTGTGGAACTAGGTGATCTCTAAAGTCAGTCCCAGCTCTCACCTTCCAGATTAGCAACTCCCCGTAGGGGACTCCTCCCTGGTTGTTAACACTGGGCAGTCATGCTGAATTAACGTATTCCATAGGGATGTAATGAGTGCAAGTAATCTCTCTTGCCCTAATCCCCCAACCCCCTTTTTTTTCCGCATTGTCACTTTTGTCCCACTAGTTTGAGTTCTTATTACTTTCGGTTTTTATTGCAATAGGTTCCTAATGGGCCTCCCATCTCACCTCTTCTAACCTACCCTATTCAGTCCTATCACAGTCCTCTCTAAACCAGAACTTCGACATGTTGATTCTCCCACTCACGAACGTGTGGTGGAGCTCCAGTTCTCGGTGAGATGGAGTGGGCACACTCCACTTTGTCTCAGCCACTGAATGCAGCTACAAACCTGGACAGAGTGCATGGGGCAGCTGAAAAGTAAACTGCAGTGGGTGTACTGGGGAAGATGACCAGAGAGAAGAGAACCTTCCTCCCCAAGTGGAGGAGTTGTGACTTGGGAGGATGCGGTGAAGCCTATTGCTTTTTTTCTCTCTCTGCCCACCCACCACTTGGCCCCATGATGGAGACAACTGTAGGAAATCCACTGCAGAGCAAGTTAAGTAAAGCTCCAGTTATGACTGAAGGACTGAAAAGGGGATACCCAGGGAACTAGAAAGTACCAGGGATATGGTGGAGAGAAGGGGGCTTGGGAATGCTTGGGAAAGTGGCTCCTTAAAGCAACTTATGAACCCGTGGGCTCACCCCTGAACCTGTGCATGGATCTGATCCTAAGCAGCACACATAGGATTTGTGAACTCAACTATGGGAAGGCCATTACCCCATTCCAGACTGGCCATTATGTGTTACACACAAGACAGAATCAAATCACACCACAAAGGCTTTGAAAACTGAACTGATATGGGAACCACATGCAAAGCGGTTGGTTAGAACTCGCAGTGTGAACCCAAGTGGGTTGCTGACCATAATTATAGAAATATCAACATTCTCCATAGGATTTAAAGACCCAGAGTCTTACAATACAATATTAAAAATAACCAGGATACAACAATTTAAAATTACTTGGCATATGAATAACCAGGAAAGTCTCAACTCTTATTAAACAAGACAATAACAGATGTCATCCCCGAGACAACACAGATATTGGAATTACCTGACAAAGTCTTAAGGAAGCTATCATAAAATACTCCGAAAAGTAAATACAAACTTCCTTGAAATGAATGGAAAGATAGAGAGTCTCAGAAAAGAAATAGAAGATATAAACAAGAATCAAATGGAAATTTTAGAACTGAAAAAGATGGTAATAGAAATAAAAGAACTCACTGAATGGACTCAATGGCAGAATAGAGATGACAGAGGAAAGAGTCAGTGAACTTGAAGGGATCAATAGAAATGATCTGATCTGAGCAGCAGAGAGCAAACCTGAAAAAAACGAACAGAACTTTAGAGACCTTGGGACAATAATAAAAGGTCTAACATTTGTGTTATTGAAGTTCCAGAGGAGAGGAGAAAGAGTATGAAGCAGACAAAATATGTGAAGAAATAATGACTTGAAAACATCCATGTTCAGCAAAGGGTACAAACCTACAGATTTATGAAGCTCAGGGACACCCAAATAGGCTAAACCCAGAGAAACCCACATCCAGACACATCATAATCAAACTGGAAAACTAAAGACATAGAAAAAAATCTTGAAAGCAATCAGAGAAAAACTATGCATTACCTGTAGACGAACAATAATTCAAAGGACTATGGATTTTTCATCAGAAACCAAAGAAGTGAGACAAAAAGTGAAACGACATTTTTAAAGTGATGAAAGAAAAGAACTGTTAACCCAGAATTCTATATCTTGCAAAAATATCTTTCAGGAATGAAGGTAAAATGAAGACTTTTTGGTAGAGGAAAATGGCGGCGGGTCTGGAGCACCCGTGTCGGGAAGTAGGGCGGAGCCGGGCAAGCCCGGAATAGTGAGGGCTGGCCAGTCATCTCTGTCTGGCGTGGGTCCCCGCTGGGACGTGCTAATTGCTTACCTTGACGCAGAGCATCCTGGGGCTTGTAGTCCCACTCTTCCCGCGGTT